GCACTGGGACTTGATCAACAGCCGATACCGCACCGTGACGTCACAAACCAGTAGGTGGCAGTAGTGTTCTTTGACAAACATGGATGCCTCCAGTAAAGCACATTCTAATGAAAATTATTTATTGAACAGTATGTAAAAAATTACATATTTAAAGATATTTCAGAAGTTTGAATTCTGACTATAACAGGACTTTTCCTTTAAACAAGTTATTGCAAATATAGTCATTTTGCTTCAAAGGCAGTGACTTTTAAGCTCACAGCACTTAAAGTTTAAGCTCCTTTCAGATCATACAAATTGATTTTTTAGTTTTTAATGCCTTTTTAATAATGGACATTCCTTTACTAATGTAATATAAAATTTTCCATATCATCGCTTTTAAATAAAGCTATATCGCAATATATATTGCTATTGCATTATTGTCCAGCCCCACTAGAGGGCTGTGAAAAAGCCACCAAATGTGACAAAGTGGCTCAGTTTACAAACTGGCAGTGGTTCCAAAAATAAATTAAAATTGAACATTTCTTTCATTTAATTTTTATTTAAATTAATTCATGTGCATGTATACAATATGCTATATCATATGCTTTACATTGTTACATATATTTTGTTGTTCTGAAGGTGTTGTAGCTTTTATTATGTTGTGGCAGAGTACCATGATTAATTCTATGTAAGGAAACCCTACCAACCTGCTAAGCCTGGAAGTTGATGGTCTAGCACCCCCTAGTGGGTAAAAGTTATAGTGTTGCTTTTAAAAACAAATCTAAAAAGTTACTTTTCCTTCATCTCTGCTTCTCCTTCAGGTTATTTATTCATGTGATTTTCTATGTGAGTTTAATGACTTAAAATAGTTTCAGTTCTGACATTTCTTTCCTTTTTTCACTTCAGGAGAGGCCATGATGATTTGGGGGACCACTACTTGGACTGTGGTGACCTGAGCAATGCCCTGAAATGTTACTCGCGTGCCAGAGATTACTGCACCAGCGCTAAACACGTTATCAACATGTGTCTGAATGTCATTAAGGTACAACAGAACTAAACTCACTGTTGCTGCATTAACGCTGTAGATAACTAATCCTGATTTATTGGGTTTCTTAAACGCTGCAATATTTGAGGAAATCTGAAAATAAAATTGCTCAGGACGTGCTCAATATTAAGACACTCTAACTTCTTCTCACTTCAACTCATCTAATTTGATTTAAATGCAATAAAACGTGAAATATGTTTTGTTGCAAGTTTACATTATGGTGTCATGTTTATGTCACTAAAACAGTAGGAAGCAGAAAAACAGACAAGATTAAGCAAAGAGAGAAAATGAGCACAACATTAGCTATTAGCACAACTGCTGCCTTGCAGCAAGAAGGTTCCGGGTTCGATTAATGGCATGGAGTTTGCATGTTCTCCCTGAGCATGTGTTGGTTCTTTCTGGGTTCTCCGGCTTCCTCCTGCAGTCCAAAAACATGACTGTTATGATAAATGGCTTCTCTAAATTCTCCTTAGGTGAGAGTGTGTGTGTGAACCATTGTTTGTCTCTGTGTTGCCCTGTGATGGACAGTCGACCTGTCCACGGTGGACCCGTTATAAGGGTGATGGAGGTCGCATTTAGTGTGAAAGAATACTCAGCTTTAAAAGATGCTGTGGGAAGGTAGCTTTATCTTGTGGATGTGATTTAAAAAGTTCATGTTCTATTATGCCATATTTACTGTTAGTCACTAGATTTTCTTTATACGGTGGACTCAGAAACTATCAACACTTTCAAAGAGCTAAAAAATAGGCAAGGTCTTTTTTTTCCCCCTGTAAACAAACAGGGATCAATTAAGCATCATAGGTTTACCATGCCATAGATGATTTCAGCTTAAATAAGCCTCATCTTAGTAGGATTGACCTAACTATTAAAATCACAATGTAAGATATTCTGTTTTTTTTTTTTTTGCCAGGTAAGTGTTTACCTCCAGAATTGGTCCCATGTGCTGAGCTATGTGAACAAGGCGGAATCCACCCCGGAAATTGCAGAGGTAAATAAACTGCAGCTCACTGTGGGAAAACATCATTAGACTCGTGTTAATTGTGTTATGCTACGTTCAGACTGAACGCTGCAGGAGCAGCAAAAAAACATGCGTGCTGCTTCATTTTTTATGCTTGTACCAGTTTAGTTCTGATGCGCCGCTGAAGCATCTTTGCTGCTCTAGCTGCTCAGTGGAAAAGTGAGTCTGATGCGCAGTGGGCGGAGCTAATCGATCCTTTCCTTGCCTGTAAGAAGGGCAGCTACATTTGCTGTGATCAGTGGGTAAAAAGTAGTCTTTATATGTTTTTAAGTGTGAAAGTCCTCCTGAAAACATCATCTGTGAAGTTAGTTCATCCAGATTACCATCCTGCCTAAATATTATTTCGATGTCAGAGCCCTCGGATCCCCACACCCTGGCGAAGCGCTGTCACTGGGAATCCTGTTCAACAGCAGCCTCTGGCCTGGTTGCCTCTTTGCAGTTTTCCACTACTGTTCGCGGCAGCTGGAAGGTGTTTTTCATGTACGTAATCCAAACTGCAGGCACCAGATTAATAAATTCGAACATATTTTACCGGCAGGTTTTGAGATTTGAAGTAAATTTAGGCGTTAATAAACTGTTTGAGAGGAGTGATCATAGCGCTCTGCATCAGTGCTGTGTCATATGTTAATGTGGATCGTCGAGCAGCTAAAGTTAAGTTTTTCCAACTCCAGCAGCTGCTAGTTTCGCAGCTCGTCCCGAGCGTCAGATGATCAGAAGCTCATGTCGCTCTGCTCCTGCTGCTCAAAACGCGCTGCAGGACCTTTTGCTGCGCATTGATGCGCATCAACCATTGACTTTGCATGTAAACCAGCTGCTCCTTCTGCTTTAGCTGTGAACGTAGCATTACTCTGTTATCTTCATGCTTTGTTTAATATGTAATGAAAGAAAATTCATGTTATACTGTATCCTGTATAAGTATTTTCTGTTTTTGTACAAAAAGTTTTCCTGCATTTGAATCCTTTTCCTCATAAAGCTCCTGCCTGTAAAATGTCCTCTTTAACAGCTTGTTTTCTTTTTGTAGCAAAGAGGGGAGCGAGACAGCCAGAACCAAGCAGTCCTTACCAAGTTAAAGTGTTCTGCAGGTATTGCAATTATTAGTTCAAATTTCTGCATTGAGACTATTCCAATCATGGTTGCCACACATAAAAAAAACAACAACAAACAAACCACATAGTGGATGTATTCATAGAACTAAATCTTTTATTAAGTTGCAGTGTTTCATTTGAAAATAATTTTACATTGGCGCCTTGATTTTACGCCATTACATCATGTTCTACTCATCCATATGAGTTTTTTGTCATTTGGAGCCGTTCTGAAGATATTCCGTTAGGTTATATCCAAGTAACGTCTTCCTATGGGCAATGTTAGGTATATTATATATTTTTTTAAAACAAAGCGGCGCGTGTATGACGTCATCCGCGCACCGGACTGGAGTTGTGACAGGCAGCCCGGGTCACAGGCGGCTACGCTCTAATATTTGGACAACAATCTTGTCCAACTGATAACCTTAAACTAATGACTCCTCAGTTAACAGGTTAACTCTGACGGTTTTTTAACTTTTTCTTCAAAGAACTCAGACCTTCAGCAGTTTTATGCTGCAAAAAGTAGAAATAGAAATAAGTCATTTTTTATTAAAATAAGCACATTTGTTCTCGAGGAGATAAGTGAGACACTTTGCCAGTGCAAAAAAAAAAAATCGTCTTATTTTAAGTGCATTTTGTCTAGTTATTTTTACTTTAAGAGTAAAAATACTAATTCATTTGGCAAATCATCTTATTTACCACCTCTTATTAAGGATAAATTAAATTCATTTAAGAAATTTTTACTTATTTTTAGACTGTTTTTGCAGTGTACAGTATTCTGGGAGTTTGTTCCAGATAGCAATTGAGTTCAAAACTTAAAATAGTAAGAATGAAAAAGCAATTTCCTTAATTCTCATTAACATGTTGATTGTCTTCAGAAATCTATTACCGTCATGAATCAATGCATTGTTTGTTTTTAATTTTACATTAATTTAGGTTATTATGCTTTTCTATGCTTCAACAAAAAGAAAGTATGGGAGATTTTAAGACTTTCTGCTGGAAAATGTGAAATTATGACGTCACATCGCATTTTTTTAGCAGATCAAAGAAATTAATTTAAATTAGAATTTACTTGCTCTTAGATG